CGGAGCGCGATGAGCTGCAGCAGTGCCTTGCCGCCACGAGCGATGATCTGGGTAGGCAGCTGCGTGCTGTGGAGCAGGCGAAGACGGAGGTGGAGCAGAGCCTGGAGGCAATGACGTCGGAGCGCGATGAGCTGCGGGAGCACCTTGCCGCCACGAGCGATGATCTGGGTAGGCAGCTGCGTGCTGTGGAGCAGGCGAAGACGGAGGTGGAGCAGAGCCTGGAGGCAATGACGTCGGAGCGCGATGAGCTGCAGGAGCGCCTTGCCGCCACGAGCGATGATCTGGGTAGGCAGCTGCGTGCTGTGGAGCAGGCGAAGACGGAGGTGGAGCAGAGCCTGGAGGCGATGACGTCGGAGCGCGATGAGCTGCAGGAGCGCCTTGCCGCCACGAGCGATGATCTGGGTAGGCAGCTGCGTGCTGTGGAGCAGGCGAAGACGGAGGTGGAGCAGAGCCTGGAGGCGATGACGTCGGAGCGCGATGAGCTGCGGGAGCACCTTGCCGCCACGAGCGATGATCTGGGTAGGCAGCTGCGTGCTGTGGAGCAGGCGAAGACGGAGGTGGAGCAGAGCCTGGAGGCGATGACGTCGGAGCGCGATGAGCTGCAGGAGCACCTTGCCGCCACGAGCGATGATCTGGGTAGGCAGCTGCGTGCTGTGGAGCAGGCGAAGACGGAGGTGGAGCAGAGCCTGGAGGCAATGACGTCGGAGCGCGATGAGCTGCAGGAGCACCTTGCCGCCACGAGCGATGATCTGGGTAGGCAGCTGCGTGCTGTGGAGCAGGCGAAGACGGAGGTGGAGCAGAGCCTGGAGGCGATGACGTCGGAGCGCGATGAGCTGCGGGAGCACCTTGCCGCCACGAGCGATGATCTGGGTAGGCAGCTGCGTGCTGTGGAGCAGGCGAAGACGGAGGTGGAGCAGAGCCTGGAGGCAATGACGTCGGAGCGCGATGAGCTGCAGGAGAATTTGTTTTCATTGAAAAACGAATACGATTCGGTTGTTGTGTCTTGTGAGAAGTTGCGTGTGGACGTGTCATTGGCGGAATCGGCGCATCAAAATGAGTTGTCAGTGCTTCGAGGTGAGAAGGATGCTATTGCTGCCGAGTTACGCAGGGTTACTTTTCGGTTGGATGCATCGGAGGTGCGGCTGAAGTACTTGCGTTCATTATGTAAGTCGGCGGGATTGGGTGGCTCGGCGGAGAGTGGCGAGGACTATCAAGTTACCCGTTCCGTGCTGGCGATGAGGAGGACGTGAAGACGTGTTGACTTGTGGAATTTTCCCATGTTCGTTTTCTTATTGTTATTTCTCGTGAAAAAAATAGAAGGTTCCTGTGCCTGTTTAGGAATTTACGATGTTTTTTTTTTTAATTTTGCACAGATTTTTTCTTTCCTTTCAGATATTTGTTTTTTATTATTCGCGTTTTTGGTGGGGCTTCTGGTCTCAGCGAAGGCGTGTTTGCCGTTAGTGCTTATGTTTCTTCTGATGTGTGGGATTCAAAAAAATTTTTTTTTTTGTTTTGCTTTGTTCTTCGTCGCCTGCTATGAGTGGAGTCTACTGCTTTTTTTTTTTTTTTTTTTTGAGATGCGTGTGAGTGGTTTATTTTATTGTCACGTGTATATCATTGTTGCTGTTTTCTTGATATTTATGCAGACTGTACAGAAGGCGAGAGGCTTTTTGAGTTTTCCTTTTTTTTCTTTTTGTTGTTTTAAAATTTTTAGTGTTTAGACGGCATATTGGATGGAACTTTACTTTTTGATGACTTTTTAAGTCCGGTGGCTGCACGATGCTCGGCGCGTTTGCACAGTGTGCGGATTTTGTTGGTGTATATTTTTTTGTCGTGCCTGACGCTGTTGTGAAAGTGGTGGTGGATCCACTTCTGGTGCGCGGCCCCCCGTGTATGTTCATCTCTGGCCTGCCCGCCACCGTGTTGTGGTTTTTGTTTGCGTGTAGGCGGGGTGGGTTAGGGTGAAAAGGGCGGCCATGCGACGCGACAGTGAAAGGCTCCATTGAGCGTATTTCTTTCATCTGCCTTGTTTAATGACTGTTGTGTGCGACGATTTTTGCATTGCGGTGTGACGCCTTATGTTTTTTTGGGTGGCGGTGCGTGCGCCACCGCCTCCGTGAGGCAGCAGGCGTAACGGATGTGGTGTTGGGGTATAACTGTGTGATCCCTTTCTTCCTCTCTGTCTCTCTCTCTATCCTTATTTCGGGGGAAGACGGATTGCTCCAGTAGAGAGTAAGGCACAGACATATCAGAGTAGGGCAGCGTTGAAAACACTTCACGGAAGGCAGTCGAAGTCGTCGTTACCAAATTCACCAAAACGGCGGAATTTAAACCCAACAATTGAACGTGAAAACACGATAAATTGTCAAGAATCATATCTTGAGCGACAAGTGACCAAATGTCTGTCCAAAATAAAAGCACATGCGCTACTGTGGAGGATCGTATAAAGGTCGCTGTACGAGTTCGGCCATTAAACTTTCGTGAGACAACAGGCGGATGGCCATTGATTCTCAAGAAAAAAAGCAATTGTGTAACACTGACGTCCAACAATACCCTACAACGCGATAATACCACCAAGGACAAAAATAAATTTCAATTTGACCATGTCTTCTGGTCGCTTGACAGCCCCGACGAGAGCGGCGGCGAGCCTGTCGGTCAGGCCGAGGTGTACGCCACGATTGGGCGGCCGCTGGTGGCGCACGCGTTCAACGGGTTCAACTCGTGCCTGTTTGCGTACGGGCAGACTGGGAGCGGCAAGACGTACACGATGATGGGTGCTGACCCGAACGCGGTTGGCGGAGCTGACGCTGGCGTGACGCCGCGGTTGTGCCTGGAGCTGTTCCAAATGCGCGAGCGCATCGAGGCGGAGGGCCACTCGAAGTGGTCGGTGGAGGTGGGGTACATCGAGGTGTACAACGAGCGTGTGTCGGATCTGCTGGCGAAGCGGAAGAAGGGCTCGAAGGAGGAGGTGTTTGTGGATGTGCGCGAGCACCCGACGCGTGGCGTGTTCATCGAGGGGCAGGAGCTGCGCGAGGTGTCGAGTCTGGACGAGGTCCTGGGGCTCATCGAGGCCGGCAACCGCGTGCGCCACACCGCCGCGACGAAGATGAACGACCGCAGCAGCCGCAGTCACGCGATCTTCATGCTGCTGCTGCGCGAGGAGAGGTCGATGCAGACGGCGACTGGGCAGACAATCACGACGGCTGGCAAGAACAGCCGGATGAACCTTGTGGATCTGGCGGGGTCGGAGCGTGTCGCGCAGTCCGAGGTTGTTGGGCAGCAGTTCAGCGAGGCGCGGCACATCAACCTTTCGCTGACGACGCTCGGGCGCGTAATTGACATGCTGGCCGACATGACAAAGAACAAGGATAGCCAGTGGTCGATGCCGCCGTACCGCGAGTCGAAACTGACGTTTCTTCTGAAGGACTCGCTCGGCGGCAACTCGAAGACGTTCATGATTGCGACGGTGAGCCCGAGCGGGATGAACTACGAGGAGACGCTGAGCACGCTGCGCTACGCGTCTCGTGCACGTGACATTGTGAATGTGACGAAGGTGAATGAGAACCCGCGTGCACTTCGCATTCGTGAGCTGGAGGAGCAGATGGAGCAGATGCGCAAGGACATTCAGGGCAAGGATCCTGCATACGTTGCCGAACTGGAGGAGCAGCTCAGGCTGCTGGAGGCGGAGACTCAGAAGCGCGCTGCCGACCTGCAGGCACTGGAGCGAGAGCGGGAGAAGAACGAGATACACGAGAAGATGCTGCGCGCGACGGAGGCTGAGCGACAGGAGCTGCTGAGCAGGGCTGGCGCTTTGGAGCGGCAGTCGCAGGAGCAGCGTGCGGAGCTAGAGCGTCAGAACGCACAGCTTGCTGATCGCATGCGCCAACTTGAGTCGGAGTGTGAGGCGCAGCAACGGCTGCTGCACGAGCTGGAGCTGCTGCGGGACGAGCACGAGAGTCTACAGAGGGCTGTGATGCTGCTGCGCACCGAGGTGGAGGAGATGGACCAGCGCCATGACAGGACAACGTACCACCTGCTCGCTGTGATGGAACTGCACGCCGAATGTTACGAGGCGGTTGTAGCCCGCCTTGGGGTGGAGCACGAGCATCAGTTGAACCAAAACGCGAGGTGGGATGCCGACGAGCGCGCTGCGCTGGAACGGCGTAATGAGGAGGGTTTAGCGGAGCGAGACAGCGCGCTCTCGGCGCTTCAGGAGGCTCTGGATGACTGCCAGCGGCGTCTGGATGAATCAGAGACTGCGGAGGAAAAGCTGCGAGTAGCGTATGAAGCGCTTGAGAAGGAAAAAGATGGAATTCATGAAAACATGAAGTTGCTACAGCAGGCGAAGACGGAGGTGGAGCAGAGCCTGGAGGCAATGACGTCGGAGCGGGATGGGCTGCGGGAGAATTTGTTATCGTTGAAAAAGGATTACGACTTTGTTGTTACATCGTGTGCAAAGTTGCGTGTGGATATGTCATTAGCTGATTTGGAACATCAGGACGAGTTGGCAAGGCTTCGAATTGACAATGATGCTTTTGCTGCCGAGTTACGTAGGGCTCTTGGGAAATTGAATGCGTCGGAGGTGCGGCTGAAGTACTTGCGTTCATTATGTAAGTCGGCGGGATTGGGTGGCTCGGCGGAGAGTGGCGAGGACTATCAAGTTACCCGTTCCGTGCTGGCGATGAGAAAGACTTGATCTAAGTAGTGCGCTAGTGTGCTTGTTGCCCTCTTTTTTTTTTGTTTTTATTTAAATTTATTTATTGTATTTTGTAATTTTGATGGGCTTTATTTCTTTATCATTGCTTTTTTTTTTTTTTTTTTTGTGCGTGTATATATATATATATATATGTTGGTGTCGAGTGGCAGGGCTGGTGTAGTTAAGTGTGGTTCTGCTTCTACAAGTAATGTTCCCACTGGAAATAAAAGGGCCGAAGGAACTCCCAACGGCGGGGTACAGCATTATTATTATTATTATTATTATTATTAATTGTCCTTTCCACTGTGTGTTCTCTTTCTCTCTCTCTCTCTGTCTTGTGTGTGTACACATGTGTGGTGTGGGAAAATTTGAAAGGGACGGGAGAATTTCATGCATGACATTTTATTGCACTGCTTTTATTTATTTATTTATTTTTTTTTTTTTGATTGTTTCCTTATTTTTAAATAAATAAATAAATATATTTGGAACGTTGGATGCGGTAATAAATCTATATATCTACCTATCTATCTATCTATCTATATTTATTTATTTATTGCTTGGAGTTATTTTGCGTGGGTTGTTGGACGTTTGAACGTGTAGTAGTTACATGGAGTTTATTTCTTTGAATGTCTTTTTTCCTCCGTTGACAATTTATTTTTACACACATGAAAACTAAATTTTTTTTTTTTTTTGTAGATGCGTGTAGGTGTGTATGTGTGGACGCCTTGACGGGATGGCTGGTGGGAGTGCGGAGTGTATACATGACCCAGTGAGGGGGAGGGGAGATGACGGTTTTTTTTTTTTTTTTTTGTTTGTTTGTGTGTGTTGTATCACCGTCGTTGTTGAGGGATGTGTGACGTGCGGCTCCATGCATCGTTTCCTTATCGCTCGGTCATGGGCAGCATCCTTCTCCAGATGCTGAGGCATTTATGCCTGTGTTGGTTTGTAGACATGAATGTTTCCGTATTCCCACGTCTTTTCTCCTTTGCCTTTTTTTTTTTTCCTTTTCCATTTTTGCTGAACGAGCGTGTTTTTATTTGTTATTTGTTATTTTTATATCACAAAAATAAATGGGCGGCGTTACGACAGTTTGAATGATTCATTATATTTCTTTTGTTGATCATTTGTGCATGCATGCACTTACCCTTTCTTTTTCTTTTTCTTTTTCTTTTTTTATTTGTTATTATTTGTTTTTTTTTTCTTCCTCATTTCTATTTCTATTTCTTATGTTTTTCTCACTTTGCCAACCTCTGGGCCTTGTGTTCATTTAGGCTTCTTCGTTTAAATAAGGACATCAGTTGGTTTTTTTTTTTGATTCTTCCTTTTTTTCTTGTGTGTGTGTGTGTGTGTGTGCGTGAGTAGGTCCCTCGCCGACACGTCGCCACTGCAACTGGCGGGCAGATCACGTGGACGCACAAACAGAAGCACACGAGGCTTTAATAAGTGAGAGTTAGAGTACACGAATTCATTCACGAGGCACAGAGAGAGAGAGAGAGAGAGAGAGAGAGAGAGAGAAAGGGGGTGGACGTTGCACCACCACACGTAGAGGTGCTTAGAGTTTAGGCGCGGGTTTTTTGAGGCGAGGCCGCGATAATAAAAAAAAAAAGGGAGGACGGGGATAAATTCCATACACCCCCATACACCCCCCGCCAAAGAAGGAATAAGGAAGAGGATATACTTGAAATCCTCCACTCACAAAAAAGGAGGAGGATACGCTCTTTTGTTTTTGTAGTTGGCAGCTCGCTCGCAGACTTTTTTCCTTTGTCTGCCTGTGTGTGTGCATAGGCAGCTTAACGAGGGGAACGGACAAACCGAAGCCGAGGGAGGGGGAATATTACCATCGCTCGGCTCACAAACAAAATTACCAGCGGGTAAACAAACGAAGGCAAATAAAAAATACCCCAAAAAAGGATTGACGGCATGAGCTCCAGGACAAAGACAACGCCACGTCCAAGGAATACGGCGGCAGGGCTGACTCCGATGGACGACGAGTCAAATATAGGAGAGTCGGAGAGTGTTAAGGTGTCAGTGCGGGTGAGGCCATTCGACTCACGGGAAACAAGCGCTTCCCTGATCAGCGTGTTGGCAATGAACTCAAAGAACAGGACTGTCACAATATTCAATTCGCTGCCAAAAGAGAACAACGCGATAACTAGGAAGAAGACATTTCAATTTGACCATGTCTTCTGGTCGCTTGACAGCCCCGACGAGAGCGGCGGCGAGCCTGTCGGTCAGGCCGAGGTGTACGCCACGATTGGGCGGCCGCTGGTGGCGCACGCGTTCAACGGGTTCAACTCGTGCCTGTTTGCGTACGGGCAGACTGGGAGCGGCAAGACATACACGATGATGGGCGCTGACCCGAACGCGGTTGGCGGAGCTGACGCTGGCGTGACGCCGCGGTTGTGCCTGGAGCTGTTCCAAATGCGCGAGCGCATCGAGGCGGAGGGCCACTCGAAGTGGTCGGTGGAGGTGGGGTACATCGAGGTGTACAACGAGCGTGTGTCGGATCTGCTGGCGAAGCGGAAGAAGGGCTCGAAGGAGGAGGTGTTTGTGGATGTGCGCGAGCACCCGACGCGTGGCGTGTTCATCGAGGGGCAGGAGCTGCGCGAGGTGTCGAGTCTGGACGAGGTCCTGGGGCTCATCGAGGCCGGCAACCGCGTGCGCCACACCGCCGCGACGAAGATGAACGACCGCAGCAGCCGCAGTCACGCGATCTTCATGCTGCTGCTGCGCGAGGAGAGGTCGATGCAGGCGGCGACTGGGCAGACAATCACGACGGCCGGCAAGAACAGCCGGATGAACCTTGTGGACCTGGCGGGGTCGGAGCGTGTCGCGCAGTCCGAGGTTGTTGGGCAGCAGTTCAGCGAGGCGCGGCACATCAACCTTTCGCTGACGACGCTCGGGCGCGTAATTGACATGCTGGCCGACATGACAAAGAACAAGGATAGCCAGTGGTCGATGCCGCCGTACCGCGAGTCGAAACTGACGTTTCTTCTGAAGGACTCGCTCGGCGGCAACTCGAAGACGTTCATGATTGCGACGGTGAGCCCGAGCGGGATGAACTACGAGGAGACGCTGAGCACGCTGCGCTACGCGTCTCGTGCACGTGACATTGTGAATGTGACGAAGGTGAATGAGGACCCGCGTGCACGTCGCATTCGTGAGCTGGAGGAGCAGATGGAGCAGATGCGCAAGGACATTCAGGGCAAGGATCCTGCATACGTTGCCGAACTGGAGGAGAAGCTCAGGCTGCTGGAGGCGGAGACTCAGAAGCGCGCTGCCGACCTGCAGGCACTGGAGCGAGAGCGGGAGAAGAACGAGATACATGAGAAGATGCTGCGCGCGACGGAGGCTGAGCGACAGGAGCTGCTGAGCAGGGCTGGCGCTTTGGAGCGGCAGGCCTTCGAGTTATCCCGTAACAATGAAAAATTACTGCGCGAGCGGGAGGAGAAGGAGCGCCGCTTGCTTGAGCAAATGCGGCGCCGCGAGGCCGAGATGGAAAATAATCAGGAGAGGTGGAATACTGCTCTGGAGCGGGAGCGGGTTTTGGTGCTTCAGTTGCGCCGTGATTGTGATTTTTATCGAGTGCAGTTGGAAGCGATGGAGTCCCGCTACGGTCTCACGGTGGATTACGTGGAGTGTCTCGTAGAAATTTCGAAGATTTTTTACGAAAAGGGAGCAGCATCTGTCATGAAGTGCCAGTTGGCGCAATTGCGGGAGTCGGAGGCGAAGTGGGTGTCGTCAATGAAGGCATTGAGGAAGGATCACGACAATGTCGCCGTCGAGCGCGCTCGATTGTCGGAATCACTGCGTACGATGGAGACGAAGAACAAAGAGTTGGACGCTGCGAATGAGGCGCTTGCGGTTCAACTCGCGCAAGTGGAGGGAGAGATTTTACGCCTGCAGGATCGGTTTACAAACACCGTGTCGGATCGCGACGCACTTGCGGAACATCTGCAGGTGATTGAGGTTACAAAGGCGGAGTTAGAAACCCTCTACAACGAATCCAACAAAAAATGTGAAGAGTTTGAGCGCAAACTTAACTCACCCCCCGTTTGCACCCATCATTCCAAGAAATTTGAGGGAGAAGAATGGGATGCCCTCCTACACGGCCGCCCATCGGAGATGCTGGATGTATTTACGAACGACGTCAGTACGGCCTGCAGGGTATCGAAGGACTCGGTCAATAATGTAACGTTTGCACTCGGGAGTCTCACATGCGAGTTTGACGTAACACATGATGCGGACACTACAGCAGCAGACATAGACAAACGTATCGCAGAACACCCGTTTTACCTCATGCAAAAACTATACGACAACCGCTACGGAGAAAAAAAAGGTATCGACAAGGCTACGGACGAAATAAAAAGACTAGAAAGACAACTCCAAAAAAATGTGAAAGATGTAGATGAAAAGGCCAAAAAAATTGAAGAAATTGAAAACCAAAAAGAAGAACTAGTCCAAGAAAATCACAAACAAAAGGAAACCAATATCGTTCTTCAAAAAAAACTTGAAACAAACGCAGAAATTCACGAAAAAATAGTTAAACAGTTACATGACGCAATAAAAAACAACACGAGTCTTACAAATACCCTTCAAAATCTGGAAAAGAATCACAAAAACATCGAAAGGGAACTTGAATTGGTGACCGCTGAGCGCGAGGAGCTTGCCGAAAACCTGCGGGCCACGGAGGACGCGAAGGCCGAGGTGGAGAGGAACCTCGAGTCCGTGACCGCTGAGCGCGAGGAGCTTGTCGAAAACCTGCGGGCCACGGAGGACGCGAAGGCCGAGGTGGAGAGGAACCTCGAGTCCGTGACCGCTGAGCGCGAGGAGCTTGTCGAAAACCTGCGGGCCACGGAGGACGCGAAGGCCGAGGTGGAGAGGAACCTCGAGTCCGTGACCGCTGAGCGCGAGGAGCTTGCCGAAAACCTGCGGGCCACGGAGGACGCGAAGGCCGAGGTGGAGAGGAACCTCGAGTCCGTGACCGCTGAGCGCGAGGAGCTTGCCGAAAACCTGCGGGCCACGGAGGACGCGAAGGCCGAGGTGGAGAGGAACCTCGAGTCCGTGACCGCTGAGCGCGAGGAGCTTGCCGAAAACCTGCGGGCCACGGAGGACGCGAAGGCCGAGGTGGAGAGGAACCTTGAGTCCGTGACCGCTGAGCGCGAGGAGCTTGCCGAAAACCTGCGGGCCACGGAGGACGCGAAGGCCGAGGTGGAGAGGAACCTCGAGTCCGTGACCGCTGAGCGCGAGGAGCTTGCCGAAAACCTGCGGGCCACGGAGGACGCGAAGGCCGAGGTGGAGAGGAACCTCGAGTCCGTGACCGCTGAACGCGAGGAGCTTGCCGAAAACCTGCGGGCCACGGAGGACGCGAAGGCCGAGGTGGAGAGGAACCTAGAGTCCGTGACCGCTGAGCGCGAGGAGCTTGCCGAAAACCTGCGGGCCACGGAGGACGCGAAGGCCGAGGTGGAGAGGAACCTTGAGTCCGTGACCGCTGAACGCGAGGAGCTTGCCGAGAACCTGCGGGCCACGGAGGACGCGAAGGCCGAGGTGGAGAGGAACCTTGAGTCCGTGACCGCTGAGCGCGAGGAGCTTGCCGAAAACCTGCGGGCCACGGAGGACGCGAAGGCCGAGGTGGAGAGGAACCTCGAGTCCGTGACCGCTGAGCGCGAGGAGCTTGCCGAAAACCTGCGGGCCACGGAGGACGCGAAGGCCGAGGTGGAGAGGAACCTCGAGTCCGTGACCGCTGAGCGCGAGGAGCTTGCCGAAAACCTGCGGGCCACGGAGGACGCGAAGGCCGAGGTGGAGAGGAACCTCGAGTCCGTGACCGCTGAGCGCGAGGAGCTTGCCGAAAACCTGCGGGCCACGGAGGACGCGAAGGCCGAGGTGGAGAGGAACCTCGAGTCCGTGACCGCTGAGCGCGAGGAGCTTGCCGAAAACCTGCGGGCCACGGAGGACGCGAAGGCCGAGGTGGAGAGGAACCTCGAGTCCGTGACCGCTGAGCGCGAGGAGCTTGCCGAAAACCTGCGGGCCACGGAGGACGCGAAGGCCGAGGTGGAGAGGAACCTCGAGTCCGTGACCGCTGAGCGCGAGGAGCTTGCCGAAAACCTGCGGGC